CCGCAGTGTTTCCGGGCTGCAGTCTGGGTGTGAACAAGGCCCCCTGGGGATTGACTTTTACTCTCAGACCCGGGCTGTTCTTCAGCTGCCAGCTCCGAAGGGTTCCACCTCCAGCTCCAGTCCAACTCGGGCAGGGAACAACTCCACCCCCTGGAGTCCCAAGGCGGGGAGGGGGGGGGCAGCATGGCTTGTTTTCTAGGTCCCTGTCCTGTTTCTAGAAGCCGAGGTCCACACAGATCCTGGGCAGCTTCCCTCCCCCCGGGGTGTGGGGGGGTGAGGCCTCCTGATAACAGAGGTGCGTTTCCCTGGGATCCTAAGCAGATGAGGACATTTCAGGCTGGGCGCAGGCCAGGAGTCTCATTCTCCCGAGACGAGCCTGGAGTGGCCATGAGACACTGCGAGGATCAAAAGCCAGTGGACGGGGGCCCCATGCCCTATTCGGACCTCCGAAGGCTTCGCGTGGGCTGGATCTCCCCCAACCCCACCCCAAGCCGGCTTTGGGCTCCCCAGCGGGTCAGGCTCTGTCTCCTGTGGGCGCGAGGTGCCAGGCTCCTGCTAAACCGTTCCCTGCCTTCCTGGGACACGGCTTGCGGTGGCAGGCCGCCCACAGGGAAGCCACGGTGGCCTCTGACTCTCGGTCACGAGGAGCAAATGCTGGGATCCCTGAAAGCCACCAGGGGGCTGAGAGGATCAGCTGCAGACTCTACAGGAGGTGCCTGGAGCGAGGATTTCGATGTTCTCCGGAAGCACCTGCCCCCCTCACCTGGGGAGGTCTGGGAGCCCCTCCCGCTCCCCTGGGGGCAAACAGCTCCCCCCAGCTCAAGCGATTTGTGCTTTGGGGACAAATTCCCTGGGTCTATATTTGACAGAGTAGGTCCATAATCGATCAACCTGGTTTCCATTTTGCTTATTCTGAGGGTTTTTTTTTTGGGGGGGTGGAGGAAGTAGAAAGAGAAAGGAGCCGCTAAGCATATGTAAATAAACACATTTGCATTACTTTTCCAAGAACCCCAAGTGATTTCTTAAACTCTCTTGGTCTCTTTTTTAATGCTTAAGAGTGCAGACTGCAACCTGAAGACAAATGGTTGAACAATGGAGAATTGTGATTTTTCAAAAATTTTTTGTAGTGCTGGGATTGATCCCAGGACCTTTGCACTGAGCTACATCCCCAATTCTTTGAAAATTTTTTTTAAAAAAATCTGACACAAGGTCTCGCGAAGTAGGGAAACTGCCCAGCTGAGGTGGGAACGTGTGTTCCTTCTGCCTCAGCCTACCGAGTGCTAGGATTACAGGTGTGCACCACCACGCTCGGCAGGAACTGTGACTTTGGACTGTCATAGATCCGCACTTTTTTTTTTTTTCCCAAATGGATTTTGAAAGTCACATAGACCTTTTTATAACCTTGTAAGAACCTACACCAACCAATACATACAATTCCGAAGCTGCCATGGTGGAAATCATATCTAGGAAAGTCTGACTAAAAATGAACAATGTTTAAGAGCATTTCTAAGATCCCCTTTGAATACCCCCTCCCCGAATGCACCAGAACAATAAAATACACACACAGTAAATGGCAATTTTCTCCGGAGAGGAAAGCGCCTCGCGCCTTTCACGGTCCGCCAGAGCCTGTGAGGCAGCTGGAATCTCGCCTTTCCACTAACCGTGCTTCTCGGGGTGAACAACGCCGGCCAGGTCAGGGGAGGACTCAGCTTTGCGGCCAAGGATGTTACAGGCCCGCCGGCCCCGGAGGGCGGCTCGGCGAGGGCCGAGAGTGGGTGAGCACGCTCGAAATTTGGAGCACTGGGTGCCAGATCCGCGTAAACTTACAGCAACCGCGTGACCTCCCGCCAGGGGCGCTGCCCGGGCGACGCGGCCCAGCCCGGAGGCTTCGAGCGCCGACTGATCGCCGACTGTTTTCGCGTCCGTCCCCTTTTGGGGTTGCCCTCGACCGCACCTCATTTCTTCCATTTCGGATTAAGGAGTCCACAGCCCTGGGGCCGATTCTCAGTCCCTCCCAGGCCGGTGAAGTCAGCCGTCTGCACCCCGAAACCCCGCGCCCCTTGGCGCCCTTGCAGGTGCGGACGGGGAAACCCTGAGAAGTCCCTCCAACCCGTGGGCACGGCGTAGGCTCCGACCCCGCTCGTTTCTGGACACGCGGGGACGAGCTGCACTCCGCACACCAAAAGCCCCTGTCAGCGGGGCGGCTCCAGATGGCGCCGTTTCCAGATACGCTGACCCGGGCCCGGCCTCCACTCTGCCCGCCCAACCTGCACCCAAAGCGCTTAGGAATCCACCTCGACCCCGCGCTCCGAGGCGGCCCCGGGCGCGCGAGTCCGCCCGGAGGCCTCAGTTTCCCCAGCGTCTTCTCCCGGGGAGCGGGGCCCGCGGCCGCGGCTCACCTGGAGCGGGGGGCGCCGGCAGCAGGAAGGGGTGCAGGCGGCCGGCGGCGCTGGCGTTGGCGCAGAAGCCGCGGCCGTGCAGGAGCGCGTGCAGCGGGCGCGGCTCCTCGGGCTGCGGCTGGCAGCGGAGGCCAGAGCCGCAGCGCTCGGTGTAGACGCCACATGCCTGGCCCTCGCGCAGCGCGCACGTCAGGCAGCAGCCGCAGCCCGGCTCGCGCACCAGCTCGGCGCACGCGGGCGCGGTGGGCGGAGGCGCGCAC